TGCCTACACAGAATCTGGGCGTAAAGCCAAGGCAACCCACCCAAACACTCGGTTGCGTCAGCTTCCTAAACTGGCATTTAAAATGTCCCCTACATAACTCTAATACAGTTCTGCAATTATTGAAGGAGTAGTCTGCTACATTTAAGATTTTCAAGCTGAGCAAATTGTCAGGTGGACTTAGTTGCTCTTATTGAGTTCGTAAAATACGGCTAGCCTTTTTTTAAGAAGAAAAATTTTTTGGTTTTAAACAAAAGCAGAGATAATTTGGATAAGAGTGGGTAAATAATTTGAAGAAGTTGAAGCATAGAAGGGGAATGGAAACGGTGTTGACCAAATGTTTAAACACAGGTCTAATTTGAGATGATGAGGCCAAGGCGCAGTGATGCCATTCATGCAGGGAACATGCAGTGACACTGTGCAGCGTGGCATCCAGTTGCACGAACGTTTAAAACTTAGCATGCCGAATTCGCGCTTCAATTTGTATCACCTACAACCCCAGAGCATCCTTCTTGGTCGAGAGATTACAAAATTACCGAACACTCACTCGGGGACATGCCCCAGCTTTTGCTCAAAACGAAAACATTTAATCGGGTAAGGCCGCAAAGACGTAGTGCTATGTTATTGCGCTTCCGTGCGACGTTTTGAAACATATGATAGATAGGCTTCCATCCACTCGGTCATGTCATTCAACCAAAGAGGGTTGATTTAAGTAAGCGAATTTGGTTGCCAGCGCAACAACCCGTAATATGGAAAGCGGGATGATGTGAGGTGTAGTTCACTCTGAAAAGCAAATACATGAAGGCATTTGACAATCAAAAAAAACAACACTACCAAGGCTTTGCAACATAGAAATGCTATACGTACTTCGCTAATCAAAACATATCGAAAAGCCCATAATTAAATTTCACCCTAGGCTAAAAACCAAACTTTTCACAACTTACTTCAAAATACCTAGCCTCAGTCAGTATTATCACCCAGGTTAGAGTGAGTCGACTGTGAAGGTTACGACGACCAAAAGCTAATAATGGCCTTCCCTTGCAATATACTAACGATTAAAATTGTTTGGGATAAGTCGAGGAACGCTTAAGAAACATAACACTATGCTCTCTTGTGCTTTTCATTTCATTCTCCTAGTTTTACGTTAACCGTTAGCCTTCGAACAGGGAAATATCCGCCCATTTTTACACTTGAAAATAGTCAATAAATTAAGCAGATTTTTTGGCAGGAAAAATACTAGTCACTGAGCTAGTGAATGTTTTCTTCAAGGCAAATATTTTGGATCCTTTTAACCATCTGTTCAAAAAAGACAAGTGGAATTTTGTTGTCGCTTTTAATGTGCTTTAGGTCACAAGGGGTTTTTTCACAGAACATTCTTCAAAATCTAACTTATGGTAAGAAACACGCCTTTGTTATCTTTTCAAGCCCTTAATTCAAATTACGCCGGCAAGCAGGGAGCGTTAGCACTGCATGGGTGTGGCTTTTCGGCTATTTCCATGCAATGAAATTAAGGCGCATGAGATAAGACATTCAATAAATTTCCACAGAAGCCGCAATACAAAGCCTAGGCTCACTGACTGTCAACCAAGATTTGACGCACGTACTTGTATTGGAGCACTGCTGTCGTATTTTTACGTTCATGTGAAACTTAAGGCCCATGCACGGAAACTATACTTGGCGCTGTTGAAATATTAGTACCTCATGCGCTACGAGCCATTTCCTCACCTTTTTTTCCTGGCTAGCCAACGATCGAAGAGGAGCGGCAACCTAGCACGTGAATGTTATCCTTGTGGGAAAAAGCTAGCACACAGCTTGCCTTTGTCTGCAGGGGTAACACAAAAAAGGCCATCACACACAGGCCGTAGCCGCAGTTGCTTCGGTTTTAAACTCTCTTTTTTATATTAGCAAGTGTATTCTTTTCGCGCGGATGCACGAATCGACTACGGTTCTGTTTTCCCTAGGCGTTGTTAACCATTATTTCATTTCATCTGAATGTTTACTAATCCGACGTTTTGCATGTCTCTCCTGGATAGTATAAAGCAGCAGATTTTCTACGAATTAATCAGGACTTCACTGTTTTATTAATCAGGCCCAGGTGTGAGTATGGTGATTGTCTCACCAACACATATTACTTTCATAAGCTCTATTTCACACATTAACGGGGAATTTTTTTTCGGGAGGGCCACGTGCATAACGGTCCTGCGATGGTGATCGAGGCTACGGCTTCAAATGTTTGAAATGTTTCACTTCCCCAACATCCATCCATAAAAGCGTGAAAATATGACCCGTGTAGCCTTCCTTGATTGTATTTACAGCTGACATTTTTTTTGTATTTTAAAACTTAGTAACCGCGTTAACCATCTTCGTTCACTTAGATGTCGCGATTTGAACTTGACGTGAATTTCGTTTAATACGGTGTTGGAGCCACTTTCTTCCTTATGTAACCGCTTCATTAGGATTTCATGGCGATTTGCATTTACTGTCAGCTAATAACTTTACCATATTATAAAACAAGCAGGTGATAGGCTCGAAGTCACTTAAGTGAGTGTCCTCATTTACGCATTGATAGACGAAGGGAGAGCCTCACACAAACTTCTTCTTCGAAAAAATCACTTAAATGAGCCAGAACGAGTGAGTAGTGTTGCAGTAAACTTATTCACAACGTCTCATTTTCCACGGACTGCCAGTTCAAGTGTCATTACTAGCTTACTAGGACGTATTTGATCAAATATTCTTTAACGTGAGAAATGAGGAGATACTTTTTAACCTTTTACATCCCACTCTTCCTTTAAAAGTGGTTGTTTTAGTAAAGACCATGTTAACGAAAACCATTCTGAGATCTGATTATCTCATTGGGATACTATGGTGTAAATTTCAGGATCGCACACTTAAAGTCGACACATTCCTTTTATCTAAGTTATCGAATAAATGCCAAATGTGGTGCTTTAGCTAATTGTTCTGGAGATTGATAATGCATGATAAATAATGCACATGAAAAAAGCGTTTATTTAAGTAGTTTCTGCGACGATAATCAGAAATCTTTGGATCAACTTTGACCACAACAAAAAGGTTTTGACCATAAGGTCAACTCTCGGCCATTTTGATGCAGCAGGAGTAGCCTGTAATGTAGTATTGAGGAGCGCATATGGAATCTATTATCGAAAAGAGCTACTGTAAAGCAGTAAATTAAAGAATTCAACTTCAGTTACATAGCTTTTTGAAGATTAGATATTGGGTTCCTTAATTCGGCCCATGTTGGTTGGAATTAGTCACTCCCAACACTTCACTTATTATACCAACGCAAACGTCGTTTCAGTATCAGCCAAATACGGCACAATTTGCACAATTAATAGTGCAGAAATGGAGGATAAATTCAAGTATTAAGCGCGTAAGCGTATGTGTGGACACGATGCATCAAACGCTGTGCTCAATGGGTTCACGCCTGATGCGTTTCTGAAGTTCATGGGCCACTTGGTGTGAAATCCTAACCCATGTGGAATTGGTTGAACCATAAATGCCTTAGTGGCTGCGTCAACATTCTTAATTACAACTGCACAGTTTTAGCCCGCCACAAATTCGAGACTATTAACACTTCCGTCACATTTATTATTTTGCGTGTGGAGAGGCAAGCGGAAACAATGTGAAGTTGTCCTATCCAACACAAGTTACGTGGAATTGATGGTAACGCCACAATCCAATATATGTGGAACAAGTTAACCACATTTGAAAAGTCCTCCCCATCTTCATACTGCCCATGAAGAAAAGGGCTTATTTTACGCTTGATGAGATTACGCTGAGCTTAGGCCAAATCACAGATGAAACCTGCGTGCGGGTTGAACACCCAGTCTCCCACAACATACACGAAGATCTTTACAAAGCTTTTTGTACACCTTGGGAGATTGTTGAGGAAAAGAATTAAGACCAGAATAACAAACTCCTTAAATTAAGAGAAGAATATAAAGTGCTGCACTTCATTGGAGTGAATCAACGTACGTATTAGAACAGTGATAACGGTGCACAGGGGTAAAGAGCCTGATATGCTTCCGTAAATACGGAAAGTTGAAAACCTCTTATTAGGATGGAAATTTGGGGGGAGTTTGACTATGGTTGCAGATGAGTTCTTTATCCCCTAAATGCAAAATATAGATCCTTAGATTACACAAGTTTTCTGTTATTTCTCTACTTAAATAGCAGTTGTTGACCCGGAAAACAGGCGCATAATTTTGTTTTAAAGTAATTAAAATAAGCATTACTTCAACGCACGGGTAGCTGGAATAACATGTCTAAAACGTTGCCACAATAGTGTAATACACTGGTTATTTAACTCTTGACTTTAGTGAAGAGCCACTTTTGACTTGGCCATTGTACCTTCTCTATGTCGAACATACTCTGTCCAAGTATTATGTCTTCTTTCGTCTTCAAGGAAGTCTTGGAACTCTACAATAGCACATCAATCGCATTATTCCACACAAAGTTTAATGGGATTTATGTGGGCAATAATCTAAGCGAAAATGCAGTCCTAGGTGTTTTATCTTTGTGAGAGATACCTGGCTATTGAAGTGCAAACGGGTAGAACTCTCGTTCGAAATATTTTGAGGGATGGTGTATGTAACAGAAAATGCCAGCATTTTTATAGCCACACTCACTAAACAAGAGACGGAAATCATATTTCAATGGATTTGCCAAGCTTAGGGCGAAAGTGAATGCAATGTAGCGGTCGAGATTTCCCTGAGGATGAGAGAAAATATAATACTTGCGCAGAATATGTCCACATATGTGCACATTCAACATGCAGTAGGGACCTGGAGATACTAGCGTGGGCTAGAAGACGGCCCGCCCGTTTAAGCTACAATGGCGGAGATACAAAGTGGCACATTTCCACAGACGAGAGTTAAACAGTCAAGGTATTACAGCAACATGTAACAACTAATTAGCAACTTCCAAAGCTGCTAATTACGTCGCTTATCCTTTCAAGGGGCCATTGCCTATATGGACGGTTTTCGATGCAGCCTAGGCATAGCTTAGAAAATGTGGCCAGATACTTCATGAGTAGAGTTGGAAAGCAATTCGGGTTAATGGGGAACGTCGGTAAGTATCAAAAAGCTCACTTTACAAATATTAGTAGAAGCTGCTGTTGAACTAATTTTCCGAATGCTCACATCAGCTGTTCCAAAACTTTTGAATCACATGAGTTTTATAACCATGTCAGTTATTTTTGGATTTTGTTTAAACGCATCTCTTTATTTAACCTGGGTTTGCTATATTTTCCCACTTTATTACGTAGGGGGACGCTTTTATCTGCCTGAAAATACAGCATCGAACGGACGAATTTTGCATTTTCCGATATAGGGTCTTTTTTTAGTTATAATGGTTTTCTGCTTTGGATAGTTAGGTCTTTTGTGATAGAGTTTGTTTTAATCAACCACACATCCACCCGAGGTTTTATCTTTCTGAATTGACCGTAGAGTGTGGTTTTTTCTCCATTACTTCGGAAATTCAAATTCAGTTTCGTTGAGTCTTGATGGCGGATGATCTTGCGTCACAAGGCTTTGAAATTGTCACAGACGAAAATGGAAATGAGCTCGTGAAACTGCTGTTCATGGACGAGAATGACGAATCGTCAGGGTATGCACTGGTTTCTCCCGAAGACGCCAAGAGAATCATGAATGGTGAGGCTACGCTTCAGAATGTCATTGACGAAGACGGGAAACAAGTCCTCACCTTAGTCCCTGTTGAACAAGATCAGTTTGGACTGCAGGTAGATTTAGATGTTAGCTTACTGTGTGTTGTTCAAATTATTACCTCATTTAAAAGTTAATGTCCCCTTTATTTTTGCTTTTTTAAATTCGGTTTTCAGGAGGCGGCTGGTTCAGGTGAAGGTGGTAAATCTGAGCCGGCTCCACCTCCATCTGAAGATAACGTAAAATCATCTGAAGACGTTGTTGCGCCACCGTTTGAAACAGAAACATCTACTGACAAGAAAACCGATGAAGAAGCCACCGAAGCCATATCGAAGGAGGATTCCGTCGTACCAGACATTGCGCCGACTAAGGAAGACGTCGAGGTTGCATCTGCTGGCCCAGCTACCACTTCTGCTGGTGCGGAGAATGCTGAGCAGTTTACAATTACAGAGCAATCAGCTCTGTTAGATAACCAACCTATACAAATGGTGTCTCTCCTGGATTCCGCTGGAAATGTCATAGACCAAAAGCATGGTCAAACGGGCGCTCAAGTGGTAATGCAACTTCATGGGCAAGCTTTTGCTTATGAGATTCGGGGTCCGACTGAAACTGGAGAACCATTGACGGTAAGTAAGGTTGACGTTCCGTGACATATTTTCTCTTGGTTAATGTCTTATTTTTCGAAATTTAGTCTACATTGCTACTTTCGGTTGAGAGTGCTGAGGAGCAGACTGTTTCTCAGCTCGTGAACGCCCCGGAGTCTAGTGAAAATTCACAGGTGCAGTGGCTAGCAAGCGAGGTATGCCTTTTATTATTTGGCTCCGATAAAATAAGTGGTTCACTAATAATTACTTTTGTAATTTTTCAAAAGAGTAAACAAGCGGAGAGTGACATTCCTGCTGGTCAGCAGTACACGCTCACGGAGGCAACAGCAACTGTTGATGGAAAAAGTGTGCAGACAGTTGTCCTAGAAGACGATAAGGGTAATATAATGGATCAGAAACAGGGCAATATAGGCGAACACGTAATTATTGAGCTCAATGGACAATCTTTGGATTATGTTTTTCTGGGTCCATCCGAAAATGGTGAACCAGTGCAGACAGTGCTTGTTGTAACACAGGATGACGGAAGTGGTGATGAAAGTGAGGCCGGTTTAACCGCGGCTAACTGGTGTCCTGTTGGTCTTTCTCATGACCTCTATACTACGATACGGCGTCACTCCGAGGCTATCGTTCACGAAAGGCTCTCGAATCGACCGGAGCTCTCATTCCCGAATGCTGCTTCTGAGCCATATCAGCGAAAATTAGGCTCATATGCAGCTTATCAAGAGATGGTTGAGCTTGCGAAGACGTACGCCGTTGGAGCAAGTCAGGGTGAAACACTTGAGCGCTATGAAACTCTTCGAGGGCACGCCAAGATTTACCGTTGTGGTCCACAGGCTCGTCCGCTAACTGTTAATGAAATGGTTATCAACGAGGTTGCCTCACAGCTGTGCCGCTTCAAGCCGGGTTTGCTGTTCCACAAAAGGGAGCTATATCAATTGGCTCTGGGTGTAGCGGAAGCTTGTTCACAAGAAATTAAGGCGGCACAGGCAACTTACCAGCTACATCAAACCCAGCAGCAAGCTCAATTGCTGCACCCGCCGCAACCGGAGAGCACCGTTGTCAGTGGGCAAGTTGCTAGTAGCCAGCTGGCTATGCTTGAGTCACGAGGCTTGAATGCTATTCAGCCAAACCATGTTCCAGTAAGCACAAATGTTGTGATGTCCCACGCTGGAGCCGCAGTTTCTGCTGGAAATGTGGTGCCCATCTCTCCAGAAGGAGGAGTTGTTCTCGCCTACACGACCAAGGGTGCCTCTGGTGATGCTAACACCCTCGTCGGACAGAACCTCAAGGGTAAACAGTCCCTCGGTGTTGGCACTCTTCAGCACTACATACCTAATATGACAGTGGTTAAGCGCGATCTCACCTACAAGCTCTCGGCTTCGGAGATGGAAGCGCTTCGACTAGCTGCGATAAACGCCCTGACAGATCTTCCCACCACCCTTGAGGTGAAACCCAAATCTGATTGCACAAATATTGAGCGTGCTTCATGGGACCGGGCAACAGAGCTGGCGGCATTGCGGTCCGAATCGGCTATTGATACCACCGATCCACATGCAGTTGCCAGCTTGCTCGTCAATGACACCACTCGTGTTGATTCGGTGCGTGAAAGTGCGGCGCTCTATGGACGGACTCCGCTTCAATCTACCAGTTCTGGTCCATCAGCAAACGTAATTAGCCCTCCTTATCCTGTAGCTTCTCAACTGGCGACGGCGGCCAGATCCTCTCCTCTCCTTACACCTTATGAAACCGCCTGCAATGAAGCTGCTGCCTATCTTGCAGCTGGGCAACCTGCACTTCTTACTCGCCGAAGGGAACTTGCTGAGTTGGCTCGTAAGGTCGTACGTAACTGCGGTTGTCAATTCACACACGCTCCCAGCTTAGATAGAGGGTAGGTCTGTTCACTTAACACCTTTTATCTACGTCTAACAGTGCTTTCTAAAACGATGCTTTTCAATCTTAGGTACTTTTCGGTAGATCAAGTTATGGAACTTGATCTCTCGGCTGCGGAACAGTTACTTCATGATCCGCTGGAGCGTTTAGACCTAAACGATAGTCTCGAATCAGACTCGTTGGATGGCAAGTTAACGTACCTCCTGCTTAATTAGTTTTTGTACTGTCAGTAAGTTTTTAATATCCTTTCAGATAAACTTATGTCGTTGGATCTCTCCTGCGAAGAACATAACATCCTGGACGACATTGCCATTTATACGGTTACTGGGACGGACACGTTGAAGAAGGTTCGGATATTAAGGTAGGTGTCACTTCCGTGTCTCCACGGTTATGGACGCTTGCATAGAGTACCTCTATACTGTTAGCTGTCGGGGTGGATTTTGGCATAATTCAACCTTGGAACTGTTGATTTATAACCTTCAAAAGTTTCATTATAAATAAAAAGCAGTCCCTCAGGTTCATTTTACTCAAGTGCAATAGTGCGAATTTACGGTTTGGAATATGAGATTTGTTTGTCAAATTCTACAAAATACTTTTTTCCTTTCAAGCCACTCAGTATAGTATCTTGATGTATCCGGATTTTAGTGTGATTTTTGATGGCGATGAGTAAACAATGCGCTAAGACTACAGATTATTTCCCAATGTATATATCGAAATTTAATTTTCTTCCCAGCCTTCCCGACTGTTCATTCACGGGAATAATGCCGATCCATCTGAACCAGTGCGTTAATCTCGTGGAACTTAATCTCTCCAACAATTGCTTGCATGGTCTGCCTCGATGCCTACATTTGCCTAAGTTGAAACGTTTAAACTTAAGCAAGAATCCACTCTTGGTTCGCTTCGCGAGGGAGAACGGGCCACCGCTGATTGAACAATTCCCTAGACTCATTTCTGTTGAGTTGGATCCCGAGCTGAAAGAGGTCGGTGGATGTAGAAAAACTGAAGAGGGAATTTCCCATATTAGTGTACAATATGACCCTTCTCTGTGTACGTCGACTACTCGTTGATTTAGCCTTGATAACAGAAATTAGACGCTGTCAGAGTGGAAGTTGGTAGAATATAAGTCGAATAGATTGAAATATACTGAATAATGTCTCGTATGGGTTAAGATTAGCAATTTCTCCCATTTTAGATGCTGAAACCACAATCATTAGCATATCTCTGCCCTCTTTTGAACTCCATCAACGGCGAAGAATTTAACGTTGAGGCCACCGAGGACACTATCAAAACTGCTCAAGCTGCAAAGCAAGAACTGGCCGCTTTAGTATGGTCTTTGTTTTCAATTTCATGTATTATTAAAAATGAGATTAAGCTTTGGGCTGTTATATCTTACCATCGTTTGATTGCAAGATCGCATTAAGGTCGACAAAGTGAAGTAAAATATTACGCTTTGACCGCGCATATTAGCCATCTTTTTGATATTTTACACATCATTTACAATTATTCTGAATTATTTTTAATGGGGCGCAAGATTATTGGAAAATGGACAGCTAGCGCACTTGCTACAAACTGCTAGTGAGTTGTTTTGTTATTTTCAGGTCCATTCAAAGTGGGAAGATGACTTAGTGGAATTCTTCAAAAAGAGTGTGCCGCACCGTGACCTCATTTGTGTTATTGAGACACTAGTTTTACACGCTGTCAATCAGAGTCTTACCGTGGATGAGCCTTTTAAGCACTGCAAGGCGGTTTTGGTAATATTTGGTTCATTCCATTATTTTTTAACTGTGGATTGAAGTGACTCATTACTCTGGCATTTATCTTAATATTTCAAATCCAATATGAAGGGGTATTTTCCTATCGACTTCAATGTTGATAGTTTCCTTTTCTAGGTTGCCTGAGTGCATTGGTATTGTACAAAGGCGAATGATATGAATTGTTTGAATTTGTGTTCAGCATTAAGGACTGTGGTTGCCGCACACTTTAGGCGCGTCAAATAGCGGAAGAATTCCTTGCACCGAAGGTGGTGGATGATGAGGATGAGGAAGAACATGCAGGCGACGTTCAAGTGCGATCAGACTCTGAGTCTCATGAAAATGTGGGAAACGATGCGGTCACGGCCACCATGGAGGAACCTTCCTCTACCACTGGAGCTTCCGAGGAGGTTCCTACAAAAGCTGAATCGGAATCTGCGGGCCAAGTAGTCACAGCTGTAACCTCCGCTGCTGCCGCCTCCAACACCACCACTACCAATGCGGACGGTGCGAAGAAGGAGGATCGAAAAGCTGCGGAGGCTGAACGCGAAGCCGTTGCTGCCGCACACAACATGACCCTCCTACCCGATGAACCGTTGGACCGGCTTTCGGGTATCATTGGAACCGCAATGCAGCATGGAAAAACTGTAGTCTATTCCGTCATTCGCTCTGCCGCGCGTCAGCCCAATGGAGATCTCATAATTCCCGTTGTGGGTGGCAGCATCGCCAATGGTCTTGACTCAACAAGGCAGCCCGACGGTGCGTTGTTTTCTGTTCCCTTATTGACCATACATTTCCACTTCTTCTGAATTGAATTAATAATGAGTATCCTTCTATGCTTACAGATAGCTTGGAGCAGAGTGACTCTGAGAACAATGCTCCACAATCTATGGTCACGACTGGGCAGCCGGCACATCGTCGCACTATTCCCTCAAGTGGGGCTGTTTTGGGTTCGCGTCGACCTGGTCTTATGCTCGCTGGTCGGGGTGGCGGGGTGAATAAGCGAGCATCCACAGTTGCCCGCCGCCATGAGGAAGAGTACTCAATGGCCGATATGTCAGCAGCTCATGGCTACTCTGCTTATGGTGATTTGGATGAACAGGAGGATGTAGTCCCGCCCAAACCTGTGAAAACCCCCGGCCACTGGCAACCTGGCAAGCGTGGGCGTCCACCGGCATCGCATTCCCAAAAAAGGTCTGCCCTAGTCTTTAACCGTATGAGGTTTGCGACCTTAAAATGTGTGCATTCAACCTGATGGCCTCTTCTTGCCTTCAATCTCAGGGCTCTTGCACAGCAAGAGGAGAAGGAGACCGCAGCTTTACTGCAGAACGTGAAGATTCCCCCACCTCATGCTCCACCACCCGCCACCCTGCGCATGTCCACTCGTGACTCCAACCGCATGAAGCGTTTTTCCGCCTATGGCGCTATCGACACCGCTGCTGCTCTTGCCGGCCAGGAGGAGGCTCTTATGGTTGCCGCCATCGCCCAAGAGGATGAAGAAGCTGAAGGTCCCTTTTCAGAGGAAAGGGAAGATGAAGCTACTAGGAGGGGTAGTGGTGGACTCAGAAAGAGCGAAGGCGAAGTCCATGGTTGGTTTTTTTGGGTCTTTTATAAGTCAAAGTCATTAGTTTTGTCACAGTGTATATTTTGACTCTTAAATTTTATCACTAACCACCCTACCAACTCAGACAAAGCGAAACAGTAACACAAGCACACTTATTCGTGTTTTTTAGCCGAAATTGCCACTGTCGATGAATCGGAGGGTGTGTTGCGTTCTGAGGAAACTGAGGACGCGGCTTCTCCTGGACCAGCACCGCCGAAGCGAGGCAGAAGACCCGGCTCGACACTCAAGGCACTCAGAGCTAGGTCTTTTGGTGCGAACACCCCCACTGCCTCGAACTCAATCGATGCAGATAATGTGCATGCTTTCTCACCCAAGGACTTTGAAGATGAAACACTTATTCGCCATCTCATTGACACTTCCATCAACACTGATAGTGTGCCTCCTGTTCCTAGTCTTGTTCAGCTCGGGGAGGTAAGATTCTCCATCCGATTCCTTCACTTGTTTACCCTTTTCATGTCCTCGTGTGAGTTGTATTTATCAAGTATCAATAATTGCATCTTTCAGGTGGTGGACTACGACCCTCTGCACTTTATCCGTTGTCATGCGCGAGACAATGACCCGTTAGACTGTTCCACCAAAGTTTGGCGCTGCGCCTTTGAGCCAAACCCCACGGACCCGAGGAGCACCACGTCCGTGGTTGCAACCTGCGGTGGGGAGTGTGTGTGCCTCATTGACTGTCAGACAGGGAAAGTGCTGAAGCGTTTCAAACATGTTGGAGAGGTAAACCATCTACTTCAGCGTTTGAGCCCGAATAGTTTTTATTCGGGAGCGACGAAATCACACTACCAATGATTGACGTGCTTATTTTATTAGTGAATAGCACTTTTTTAAGTTAGGTTCTATATCTATTTTTTGATTCTGATTAGCTGGATAGTTGGCTAGGCTGCTTCAAATCTCAGTTTTAATTATCATAAGCACTGTTGTCAGTCTGCTTCACGCATTCGCCTCCTCAGGAATTCTATGCGGTTGCTTGGACCACGGTTGAAATGGCTTCTGGACACCCTACAAATTTGCTGGCAGCTGCAGGCAAGTTAAAGGAGATTCGACTTCTCCATCCGGAACAGTTGGTCTGCTATGCAGAGATGAAAGGCCATAGGGAGGAGATAGCTTGCATGGTTTTTCATCCCACCAAACCCACAATACTCTTCTCCGGCGACTCTAAGGTATGTTACAATCCCGTGTAACAGTACCTTTACTTTTTATTTATTCTAATAACTCTGTATACATTGAAAACCCCAACCCAGGGACATGGTGGGGCCCAGATAGATGCTAAACGCCTGCCAATCAGTGATTTTACTGACATTACTTGCTAAATTGCTAGGTGATGTTTTTCATCCTGCATTGAGATGAGTGGGTTACACGAATTTTTCACATTTAATTTAATTCCCATAGGCCTGTGTCTGTGTGTGGGATGTGGGTGTACCCTCGGCACCGGAATACAGAACGAAACACCACCTCCTGATGCGCCTCATCTGCCCTCGTCCTCATCTCAACCCCGTTCTAAATCTCGTTTTTATGCCAAATTACGATACTCTTCTAGCTGGCTGCGAAGACGGCGTCTTTGCGTGGATCATTCAAGACTTCAGGAAGCAAAGATTTGCAGACGACAGGTGAGGATATGATTGGGAACTATTCACCAATTGCTTTTTAATTAAGGGTACGAGTTCAAGAATTTTTTAAGAATGTTTATTAATAGAAGGTTTTGGAACCAAAGTGAAGCATTGGGGTCGATTAAGCACAGATTTACCGCAGTGGAACTTCCTAATATACTCCTTTACAGAGTACCAACAATGGAGATCAAGATACCAACAAACCGTGAACCTTGTTTTGATGGTCTGGCGCGGCTGTCTGAAAACCTTGTTGTGGTGAAGTGTGTGGAGGAGGGAGAAATTTACGTATTTGACTTTGCGCAGGTAAGTTTAATTCTTTAAATTCATAGTTAGCTATGTTCTTGAGTGGTTCATCTAGAATTGCTGTCAGTGATCGAATCAATTAATAACGCCTACTCGTGAACATGAAATACCCCTACCATGTGGTGTCAGTCAAGTATTCAATTATGTAATAAGGCAAATTACTCGCAAACATTGGGTTAACTTGATATTTGATGGTCAACTTGGATAAATCGCCTGCTGACGTTGCTTCAACTGCGTTCCCTTTTTTCCCTTTTAGCTTCTTTTAAGCCGTAAAAGGGCAGCTTCGTCGAAAAAGATGGTAACCGCTGAGGTCTTGGGTCAGTTGCGATGGCAGACGACGGATGAGATATACATCAACGTAACAGCTAGGCCAGGTCTTGGAGCTGTTGTTTGTGGCGATAACGAAGGCACCATCTGGGTTTATGATCTTCAAGAGCATGTTGTCAATGAGGAGAACAGCACAAAATTCAAGGTCAAGCCCGTCAAGGTAATATGCAATCACTAATACCGGGTTTTTTGTGTTTTCATCTGTTAGATATGGGTGAATTGGTGCACGTTGGTTTATTTCAGATTCTCGAATGGCCCGAATGCAGTGTGGGGGGAAACCGGGAGGAGGACCCTCAGGTGAAAGAAAGTATCAACTCGGGCTTTAAGAATCCCGTTGTCAATGCTACGGATATAAGCTCTGACGGTTCATTTTTAGTTGCGGTAACTGATAACAACCTCGTCTGTATATGGAACTTCTCGGGATAGTTGATTACCTCCATGTCGCACTTCTGTAATATGCCCTCATTTTTGCAGAAATTGCAAATTATCTGTAAGCTATAGTACATTTAATGTATATCTGTATGCTCGATTGGAATTGTTGTATTTGAATGGTTGGGGGGGGGGGGGGAAGGAACCTTGGTACTGTCCGTTTGTTTCGAGGTCGGCTGTGGGGTCGCCTTAAAGTGGATTCAAGCAATTTTGGTTGACAAAAGCAGGAATGAATCTGAGATTGGCCGTGGAAGTGCTCAGGTTTGCATCGATAATTGGAACACAATGACATCTATGAATGCTCCATTTCTCAGCCCAATTCGGTTTAATTTACAATAGAGCAATAAGGTAATGGTTATAAAAGTGTTGCTTCATTCATATGTATGCGGTGCCTTGGCCACTTATTTAGTTCTTCGTTTTTGTTTCGCGAACACTTAAGCCTCCGCGATTGTACTTCCGCTGGGCAGCATGGCCTCTGGACCTCTACGTCGGCAATGCATATTCTGTCCTAGTGCTATCACTTCTTCCGTCTTCAGAGAAGTTTCGGGGCGCTAAATTGGTGGCGTCGAAAAGCTAACGAGATCTTAAAGGATATTAGTTCAAATTTCTACTGGTGGATGATGTACCTCAGTGGAGCAGAAGTGCACACGCTGTAGATGGGGGAAGCAGTACCGACCACCTACAGAAGGTCTAAAAATGACATCTACTTACGATGGCTATCCCAGTCCCGTGGTCTACAAGAAAGCTATTGACAAGTGAAATGGCACTAGCCGTGGACCATCTGGAAAAGTTTCGTTACGGAAATGCTCACCGTTCCTGCATGAAGATATGAAATATACGAACTCGCGGTACCTCTCCCAAACCTCTACTAGGTGGATAGAGCCCAGATAAATGTAGTTGGACACCCCTGAAGTGAGGAAAATGTCGCAGGGAGGAATAGACGCAAGACTTTACTCCCACGGAATCATGCTTAATCTCGTCCCTTTCTGCAGTGCTCCTACGACTAGCTATGGACACGTGTGGTAATCAACACATTCCCCCGTACCCGGACCCAGTTTCCACATTGGACGAAACTCCAGATCCAGTAGAATTACCAAGTGGGATCAGTGACGATGCAATCAAATACCTCCTCAGTTGCGTGGAATTTCGAGGACAGGTACAATTGACCTGTGGGAGTTTCCTTACAGCACCAATTACTTTGTGATGGCCGACGCGGGAGACTAGCCAAGGGGTGCGCCGGAAACGACACTCAAAAGAAGAGCGGAGGTGTGCAATACGGTGGTTGTTTAACTCGCGGTTTTAAAAAAGAGCTACTTTGTGTCTTGGCTATTGTACCTTCTCCGGGTGGGCTGGCCCATGGGCTACGCCGGCAGTCCCAACTTCTACCGTATATCAAATATGTACATTCTGCCTGAGTAGTATGTCATTTTTCGTCTTTCTACTAGCTATTAAATTCGTTGAGGGTGTCGATAAAGGATGCTGTAAACAAGCCAATGAACAACAGCGGGGAGTCGTATTGACAAAGCTGATAGGTCTCCATTTTTCCTTTCAGATAGATCAAAAAATTAACGATAGACATATCAATACAGTGTAGAGGAGACAGGGGCAACAAGGTCTGAGGCATCCAATTAAAATAATAAACAGAGCAGAAATCCTATTAAGAATTTTAACAATTCATTCGATTTTAATTGTCATATCGAATGCTACATGAATTGAATTAGACTACAAGGAGTAAAAGAAGGATTCTTGTCGTAGAGCGGAATTTGCGCAATGAATGATAATGCCTTAAAGTAAACCTTTTAATTTTGCCGTGAAAAATGAAATAACCCAATTGGGTATAAAGCACATGGACTGTCTTTCCCTGTGTTTAAATGGGCTAGAATTTGAAGTCTGGGTTCAGTCCTGCGCCTTCGGCGTTTGTCTCTGACTTCGCTTCCATTGAGGAGTTGTGCTGCATAATGTCTCGGCAACAAGGCACTCGACCTTCAAATAAGCGATCTCATAGCCAAGCGTTCGGTGGAGATATCACGGACAGCTCGTCCTCGAACAGTGAGGTTTCCCATAAGTCCTCCGTAGCTGCTGTATTGAAGAATAAGTCGATGAATACTAGTCTAAAGAGGTAGGTTTGTGTGCCATTGTTGGTGCTTCGTGAATCGTAATGTTTTTTGGTCTGCGCATTGTCCGCGCCCGACCTTAGTGTCACTCATGTCGGTTGAATTGAAGTACTGCTCTATAATGACCTCGAGGGCAAAATCAGGTTATATTTCCACTATCTTCCTATTCATGCATTAAATCTATGTGTACAACTCCCTTCGAATGCTGTCTTTGGCTTAGGTAAGATTAAGGCATACAGTTGCATGATTTGGCATTGTAAAATTGTATCATTTACTGTTCCCTTATTCGATGTGCTTATGAATTGGTCGTATTTGACCATCCAACCTACCCGCTTCTCAATAATTAATTTTTATTTACTCGCCTAGTCAAACTAAGAACTGTTTACATGTGCGTTTGCAACCAGAGTCCGTTTCTTTTTCAATTTTAGGATTCAAAAGGAGCTATCCGAAATAAGTAATGATCCTCCCCCAAACTGCTCGTAAGTTTTAATTCATTATTGAAGCATTTTGCTAGTGCTTTTCCTCGTGGAGACAATCTCTATGAGTGGATTTCAACCATCCTCGGCCCCCCTGGTTCTGTCTACGAGGGTGGTATTTTCTATCTAGACATCCATTTTCCATTAGATTACCCATTTAAACCACCAAAGGTGAGGTGGACTTTTTTCACCACCTTATAGTTTTACTAGGTAACCTTCAAAACTCGCATTTATCATTGCAATATAAACAGTCATGGGGTTATTTGCTTGGACATTCTGAAGGTAAGTAGAATGTTCTCGAATAACGTCTCTGTGCCTGCATTAAGTGCCTGTTAGCGGACATGTTCGGTGTTTCGATTTTGGCTGCAGTAGCTGCAGTTTTGCATTACAGTCACAGGGAGTTTTATTTTTATCTAAATATTAGTAGGCTTTGAAAGTACGTGTCTTTATCACGTTGAATGTAGTTTCGCACAGTCAGTGCCGTCAGCGATCCTCTCTTGTTGGTTTTCTCAGTTGGCTCTTTCCAAAGGCAGTCGCACCTTATAACTACACAGTTACTTCAATGAACTGCATTGGTTCGTTAAGTGGCCTGCGTAAACCAGACTAGAGGGGCTAATTTCACTGGACCAAGTTCTTGGTCTTGCTTTCTTCATTCTTCCATGTTAGTAAATTAGATCCAAAGTTTGAGTGCCCATCAAAGTACAATATTCGCTATTTGTTTACAGGATAATTGGTCACCTGCCCTAACAATAAGCAAGTTGCTACTCTCTATCTGTTCTCTTCTCACGGATTGCAATCCAGCCGACCCTCTTGTGGGCTCCATTGCTAGTCAGTATGTCAACAATCGCTCGGAACACGACAGAACTGCAAAGCTGTGGACCAAGAAGTATGCCAATGCCATCACTTACAACTACTCTGGTGCCTCTTCTCGTCCGGTCAATGGGGATGCCTCAGACACCCTTCAAGACACTGAAGCAGCTCAAAGCAGTCCCGAAGTTGACGATGAAAATACTAGTTCCTCTACATCTCCTTCAGTTGAATCTTCGAATGGAAACCAATGAAACCGTTTATTTTGCCCTGTTTATTCTCTTTGTACATAACTGAAATACATTTCCTGTATGTAAAAATGTTGCTTGTTATAGTCATTAATAACTTGTTGACAGCAACCTGGGCTGGAGCGATCCGACAAGCATTGGACTCAGTATCGGAGGGCAGTCAAGAGCTTACCCACGTATCTGTACCAAACCACTAGGTGTTTGCAGAAGGCAAAGTGACGCAAAATTAAATGATTTACCCGTGAGTGATGCGCGGCGTACTTTTTCAGGAGGAAAGCGGAGGTTGTATTATTGAGTTGCGAGGGCGTGAGGTGTCGCTCCGAATCGGATTTGTTGTAAGGAATGCACTGGCAGTCTGCGATTACCGGTGGATTCTTGACTTATAGGGCATTATCCAGGGACTTAAACGACTTACTTGAGCGAGTGCCACCCCTACTTTAGAAAAGCTAACCTCCGAAATATGCAGCAGGGTTTGGGGGTTTCGCAGCGGGTGCTTCATTGTTTTGATAAAGATGTGATTCTTAAGTACTGGAAAGGTGCATCTGTCTCGAGGACGCGCTGATAGTGAGCGTGTTGGGTGGCTCCCACTTATATTTCATCAGTTTCTTAGATTGCAATAGGTGAAGTGCCGAGTAAATTTAGCCCTACTTAAGCACCTTCTTAAACATGGTTTACTTTTACTGACCAGTCGTTTGACCCACATTCAAAACAGTCGTTTGCCTTACAATTTGCCTTCTACGTGAACTAAAGCGGTACAGCTATCGTATTTCTGGGTAAGACTATGCAAATTGTTCTCGAAAAAGGCAGCATGAGAGCATCCACGATTTCTTTGCAGGCTGATTTGTGAAGAGATAAGGGAGTCAGTAAGTATGCGAAGTTGTAACTATCGTTCGATAAGAATCGTCAAGACGGTTTCGCTCATGCTGGGCCGGGTCTGACTCGCTGGAAGTTTTGCGTTACGTTCGCTCATGTCGACGCGTGATGAGAGCCGATTTCAGGTCGCCATTGTTCACAAAATCATGTTTAACGAAGTAGTCAGAGGGTGAAATATGATATGGTGGGAATTATTCTTTCTTTTGTGAAGACGCCATGATAATGGCTTATATAAACGCAATGAAACAGTTTAAGTGACATCTGCCAACCATTAAAACTGAATCAGTGCATTTTGTAAATTCTTTCTTGGATATACAATAAAACGTAGGCATTAAAACAAATTAGTTTATCAATGACAAATCAGTGGGGGTCATTTACACAAAGGTGTGCACCGTAAACAGTTTTGTTTCTCGTAGCTGCGTCTGCTGTTGTGAGCCTATATTACCCGCGAACGTGCTGAAATCTAGGTATCACGAAATTTTTCGGCCGCTTCTAGATTGCTTATTGTTAAGTGTAATTTAACGCTTAGTGCATTTTGTGATGTAAAATTTGAACAAAGTGATAATTCAGCAGTCTCTATTGAAGCTCTTTCCCTTTTTGTGGTAGTATGAACGGAGTGCAATGTGATCAAAATGCATTTTCAGACCTATAGACACTGCAGCATTGACACTGGGTGCCATAGAAGCACTTTTCTGCTCCCATGGTGATCATAACTTCTTCAACCACTGGGAGAAGAAACAGTAATGACGAATCTCGAAAAATTTGAGAATTTGAAAGCTTTAAGAGTGATATCATTGGAAGCCTATGAACATTTATGCTGTGCCCAACGGCCCCACTAACATCACACAGGCCCCTAGTCGTAAAGAAAGTGGAGATAATTATGCATCCCTAATCACATTATTGCTTTTGTGAGTTTGGCTCACTTTACTTCTGTTTCTGCTTGAAAGATTTTTGGAATCACCGTAAAGCTACTTTTACCTACAAGCGGCGTCCGCGTCAAGTCGATCAGGGTAACAGTACGGGATGGAGGTGGACTGTCAATCAGCTGTTGATCGGTTTATGTAGGAACGACATTTAGCAATTAGTTTGCTTTCCATAAATGACCGTGACATTCATCAACTTGAATCAGAGTCGATTGAATTTACGTCTAATGCGTGAGGAAGAATTTGATTAAACTTTGCTATTAAAGCACAGTTAGATCACTGATCCCAAACCAATTCATAGTATTTTAACTCACTTTGTAACTTCAAAAAGAGCTAATTTTTGAAAGAATTGACGATGGATAGATGGTAGTTGTCAGTGAAACCCCGGTTCAAAGACTTGCGTTGAAAGAACACTTTCATGATCTCAAGTTGGGAACTGTTGTAGAGGCTAGAATACCTGAGTGTGATGGAAATTTTAAAAGTTTCTTGGATAAACACTATTACATACAACCGTGTCTTTATTTGAAAACACACCCCGTCATGCAGGCTTCAATTAGCTTTGAGTTTGGCATTGACAACTTTGTGCTGCAAAAACAAAAGGCACAGGTAAAGAGGAAAAACAAAGTATGCATGCATCAGTTGTTGTAGCTACTGGTGGATTTAAAGTTATAGTGTAACTACGACTTCTCCAAATAAAGTTTAATTCCAATTAATGCTGCTACATTTGGCAGATTGCAGCTTTAGCGTGTCAGTTTTGCAGATTTTAGATGTATGCCGAAAGGACGCAGGGGGGATATGCGGTTAACTGTAACGCAGCCAGGGTGGTAAAATGACACCAAAATGAGTGGACATGAGAGGAGTAAAGGAAAGACGGTGTTTGCCGTGCGGTGATAGGTCTGTGCCGTTGGTGTGCGATTGTAGCAAGTGAAACACTTCTTTTTCGGTCATTTCGCATACGCATCGACCATGGAAACTTTTGGCTGGTAAACCTACGCACTAAAGTGCACCATAATGACTATGAGTGTATGATAATTAACAAAACGCACTGATTTACATTGCTTCCGTATTTCACACGTTAAAAAGCATAAAAGCATTTGCATTTCCATGATTTTTCTGATTCGATATCCAGCAAATGTCTCAAGACCTTGAATTTCCGAAGGGAGTTGACCGAACACGGACAGCAGCATTGCTATTGCCCTTGATTTTACGGATATAAGAAGAAGAGAGCATAACTATCTCATACCTTAATCATGCTCTAACACGTATATCAGCACTCTTCAAATAAAGCACACAACAACGCCACAATCGCGTTTGGGAGGCGTCTATGTGGTGTAGTGAGGAGCTGTTTTTGCCGGATTAGGAATAATGATCTGTTAAATTGACAAAAGTGCCACTTCACCCCAGATAAGCATAGTCACATCATTTGCGATATTCCGATGTGAGTATTTTGACTAATTCACCAACATGCAAATATAAAAAGAAATGCATTTTCAATAAGCTTAACTTTTTAAATATACTAATTAATGAAGATGTTTTGCCTGCCTTAGTTTACGATAAGAGCGCAAAAGGAGAATCATACAAGAACTACTTTCTAATGGCATTCATGCTCAGGAGTTAAAAGAAAATAATCCGAACGAAAAATCGACAATAAGCCGTTTGAGCAGACTTTTCTTTAATTTTACAACGTAGTAAATAACACTCCGTTTAAGAAGAGTATTTTACACTGAGCTTTCGACGAATTGGACTCTGCGAGGGGTTTTGGGATGTTTCATATTATTCCAGAATATAATAAAAACCAAAAGAGAATGGCATGCACCTGCACCCATTCTGGCTTACGAAGCCCAATCAATGTCATGAATAGTAACTTCTTTCAGAATACATTGCAAATTGATGCCAGCATGGCTGCATTTTTCGACGTCTAATCTTGCCGGTTTGGTGTTGTTAAGGCAGATTCTTGCGTTCTGCGTGATTTAAGTTGATAACAAAATTTATATGTTAAATTGCTATAATCTGTTATAAAGTCACTAGTGAATCTTCTTGTGGGTAATGAGCGCAGCCAACATCCATCTTAAGATGGATTGAGATAAACCACCTCACTTGGTGTTATCGGCGTTCGTCCAAGGAGTCGCTCAAGATGACTCAATGCACAGTTTGACGTCAAGAACTTCTGTTTCATAAACGTTCTCAAAAGACATTAGAGCGATGAAGTTGCTCAAGTTCATTTTATTCTTCAAACGTTTTCCAAAATGCGGCTCTTTTCTAGTATCTGTAAAGCCAAAACTGCAGATTTCACGCAAACAGTAGGAATTAACACGCTTAGTTAAACCCACTATTGTTAAACATTCCTCCTCATCGGCATAAGCATAGTCGAGACGCCGATGAATTATGAGCGGAGTCAAATCTACAAAATTGTTCCCACTCTAAGCCGCTTGATTGTCCCGAGTTCGCTGTGTGGTTGATCAAAGCCAAACGGAAGCATATTTTTACGTATGCGCCCGCCAGTCTTTATCTCCCAGGCTCTCCGAAGGTAGCGCAGCGTCCAGGAGCATTTGCCAAATTTATTCTTACTGCTTCAACTAGCATTTGGAAGTCATAAGTGTTGCTTGAGGTGGGAACATCTTAAAATAAAGAGTTTTAAATATCCGGAGACGGTCTTAAGTATTCCGCTCTAAAAGACACCTAGTCATGTGATGTTTGCGTAACAGAAGCAAACAGAATAACATTTGAGAAGAAATTTTATAGCAGGTAGGCACAGCACAAGGTTTAAGTATCATGAGTTTATTTAAGAATAAAAACTCATAAAATATGCATTTAGAACCTACAGGAAGGACCTTAGTAATGCCAGAAGCCATTATTTATCAAACTAAAATGTTTACGGTTATAGTCACACAGCGGAGGTGAGATTTACCGCTAAGGCTCAAAATTTATACAGACGGTGCAACTTGCCGAACAAATTTTTAAAAATTAACCGTTTTGCCATTTAGGTCGAGCATTTGGACCATCGCTGGCGGTTGCCAAAAGGTATTGGAGGACAGGCATTTCGGAAAGTTCATATTACGAGACTCAAACATTTCAGCTAGACAATGATGCCATAACTTATGAGCGTAAGCACCGTAATCTAACCATGCTTCTGCATCTTGACAATTCTGAGTCGTACTGCGGTAAAATATGAGAGTATGCTTGTCACTTGTTAATAGTGCGACCGACACCACAATAGGTAGGTGTGATGAAAGTCTAGCCTAATTTTAAACCCAAAAATACAACTTTTACGCCCTATATCTTAATAGAAATGATGGTATGTCAAAATGGATGCTGAAGGAGCCAAACTTAAAATCCCAGAGAAGTATGCAAGGTTATTTGGTGTATCCCCAAAGGCCCTTTTATCAGAATGTGTTGGAACAGGTGATAAGTATCTAATCAAGGTGAAAGTAATTTAATAGACGACTGTGCATAGATCTTGCAACCACTTCAGAGACGATGATAATTTCCGTCAGTGGATAATAGCAGTAAAAGTTAGCAGCTGCAGAAGAAAAGTATGTATCATGTGCGGTGAGTGGAGTCTGAATGTGTTTACTAAGCAAGACAGTAGTGAGAAAGTCAAGCACGAATGATGTCTCTTGGGCTAATTTATATCTGCCGATATGAAAAAGAGAAGTATGATACAAGGTCTGCGGTCATGGCAATTGCTTATTGCGCATCGTGTTCGAGTTGATGCCGCAAGAGAGTAAGCAAAATTAAAAATACTAAAAAAAAAAACAATTTACTCTAATAAGTACCACCGAGCAATGAACTGCGATTGCATTAAAAAATGAAGATGGAAGTGCATAAGCATTGAAGTGGAGTGTGTATTTTCCACAGGCAAGGCCTAGTCACTTAAAAGCATCTTCATCTAACCTCCGAAAAGGGTAAAATGGAATATAAGCCATGTGTATCTGATAAATGGCAAATAGGCTGGTGTTTTTACAAACAGCGCTCCCAACAAAAAATTGACTGAAATTGTAACACTTCAAGTATGTCTCGTCCACGCTTGAAACACAAGTGACGTATATTCATTTATTCATGTAATCGACAACCAACTAATTCGTTATTTTATTGCTTCAATCAATCGTTTATTCATTTACTCATTTAATCATTGTTTATTCGGACGACTCATTGACTAAATAATTCCTACGTTAATTAATTATTTCATGCACTCACTCATATAATCACCCACTTATTTGTTAGTTAATTAACCAATTAGTTAAGTAATTCACTCCCCCATTTATTCACTCATTATTTCACCCAACGTATCAATCTTTTAACAATTCATTCCGTCATTTAGTTATCAATCAACTAATTTATTCCTTAATTCATACATTCATGTATACGTCCATTTATTCATTCCACTACATATTCAAATAGCCATCCAAAGACTAATTTTTTCACTCCAGATTCATCAACCAATTGACTATTCCATGCATTTGCTCACCCATTCTTTCACTCATAAATTAATTTTATTTCCATTCATTAATTCATTTTCTTAATCATTATTTTATTCAATCATCCGTATATTCACTAATTCCTTGATGTATTCATTTGTTCATTAGTGGTTCATTCAGTCATTCCTTAATACATTCATCCAATCGTCTATTAATTAATCTATCTCTAAATAATTTATTTAGGCATTACCTTATTCATGCTTTTAGATTATACGTTCCCCATTTATTTATGCATTCATTTACTTGTACATTGATTCCCCCTTCATTGATTAAGCCACTCATTTATTCTTTCACTCATGCATACATCTGTTCACTTATTTGTTAATTCTTTCAATTAGAAATTTGTTTAATCACCCCTACATTCATTCGCTTAATCATGTATTCATTCACACATTTATTGAATAACTCATCTAATCGTTCATTTATTCAATCAATCATTCACTTCATTTATTCGTTCAATTGTATTTACTATTATTTATTAATCCATTAGTTAAATCATTACTTCATTCATCCATTTAATAGTTCGTTCAAGCATTTCTTGATTTTTATTCCTGCATTCAATTATTTATTTATTTTATTATGAATAAATAAGCAAATAAATATGTTTATTCCCAATCATGGACACGCATACCTGCATTCCTTCGTTCAATCTCTCCTCTCGTTCGTTTATTCATTCACCCATACCTTCATTCATGCATTTGTTTTTTCATTCTTTCTGTCGTCAATTAGGCAATAGATTAAATCACATTAACACTCACTTTTTGTTCATTAATTTATAAATTTACCCACCCATATATTCGACCGCTTTTTATTAATTAAAATTTTCATTTACTTGTTCATAGATTCATTTAATTCATTAATTCACTCACTCTTTAATTTTTACTCATACATACATACGTTAAAACATTCATTCATTCACTCTTACATACTATCAGTCATTCATTCAATTTTTCTTTGATTTGTTCATCTAATCTTTCATTCATTCAGCTGTTCATTTATCATTTCATTTTCTCATTTATCCCTTCATTCATTTACAATTTGAGCATACACTCGTCAGATTCGCTGTACATTTACAGGGCGTTGATATTAATGGGAAATCATTCAAACGATTGAAACCTATGTGATTGTGGAACATGCGGCAATACTGCAGGAATGCCTAGGTGACAGGTAAATTGACAAGTGTGATGATTCTTGAACCAGACATAATCTCTCAAAGAACTATTAAAATTGCTTGACAGTGAGCCCAGATTAGCTGTCATGGCGCAGGTAATGCGGAAAATTTAAATGGTGTCTTGAGCTATTCCAGCCATTCCTATTGAGTTTTTGCAAGTAGACATTAAAATCTTCACTAGAAAATCGTTGACGCCGATTAAAGTGAGGTGCCATTGGCGTTTTGCACTGGCTCACCAGGCATCAGGGTCTAGGTGTCCCCTTCTTCTAATATAAAACCGATTGTTGTTGCTACTCACTGTTATTCAAAAGAATGAATACGAAATCATCCTTTTTCTACTAGAAATGTTTCAGGGCTATTTTAGTGGTTTAACTTCTGCCAATCACTTTTTGTAACGAACCGTTTGTGAAATGTTTCGCCGACATTTCTAACAAACCAACTGTAGCAGAGTTTGGATGAGAAACTCACTTCCTGCTTCATATATGTGCCGCAGGAAGGGAGTATGTCAAGTATCAATCATTCTCTTTTAAATACCCTCCCATAGACTTGGTTTACATACGCATGGAACGATGAGTGTGCTTTGTAATGCGTATGTGATCTCTATGCTTTCCCGCCCCACACCATTCTGCTTGTCACCTGCTGTGTTTAAAATACCAGGAAAATAACCCTTTTAAGGTGAAGCTGACCGTATTTGGATCGAGCACGAAGACTTTACGCCAGAATATCATAGGACAACCAACGTGTCTCACAATATTGACTAAAGTGGAGCTTTCACTGAAGCCATCTGATAACGGCTTATCTGTGTTTGTAACTACATGAACCCCTTCAGACTCTTCAATTCATGCCTCCTCTTTGGTTTGTTAACTCTTCTCCACACCAATAATGAATCCCTCTTCTATATTGGCACGCTTCATAACGGTTTCAGAGGATATTCGGGGTGCAGTGGTATGAGTGGCTGTGCTTCATACATAGAATTGAATTAGACATGGGCAGAAGCCATAGGAGCCGACTTAAGGGATCAAATTAGTAGGCCTACCAAAGTGATGAGGTATTTTCGTTCCGACATAAGCATTATAGCCAATTGCTAAAAAAGTAAAGACCAATTAAATATCACCTATTGCAGCTACGTAGGGAGTTATGGTGACGTTAATGCGATTAAATGAGTTTATGTATTAAGGATGAGTGACCAGAAACTGTATTTTCCTGTAGATTGCTATTACCTTGAAAGAGAGTGACTGCCACTGCAGAAATACCAATTGGTTGGAGGCTGACGAGCAAAAGGACTTCCAGTAGGTAGTGGAACACCCTGCCTATTGGTCAATTTTGAGGGGTCTAGTGCAACCATCACGGAAGCCTTTTAAAGCATTTTTATTCTCCTCGTCCATGGCTTACAGTCAAGCGTATCAGAGTTCGTTTTATTATAATGTTGTATAACGTTTAATCCTATCTCTTGAATCCTCTTTTTTTTATCAAACAAATTAAGAATATGACACCACCTAGTCTTTTGTAGTGCTTTATTTATTTACAATTTTCCAAGAATCGGGAAGTTTTCTAGTAACTTAGATATCCCCATAATCTCGCATCAGCTATCAACACGCATTTTTATGAATGACTTTTCATCCATGTAGAGCTCCACCGATGCAAATTTAAAGAACATACACCATTAGGCTTCTAATAATCAAAGAAGCAGCTACACACTTACCTAAACGTAAATTTACAGAAGAAGTAGTTTCCAGTGGCAAACTGCACCAGAATATACATTTGAGTGTGCTAAGCAAAGCAAATAATGATGAGGTTCCGATAAATTCCCTTATGCTTGTTGATGCAGATTATACACGATTGGTTCCGGCTGACCTAATTCGTCTTGAGTTGGAGGCGAAGGAGGTGCCACCATCCCGCAGACTCAGAGGACGGACTTATCTTTCTCTCATCGCATTCACACGCGTTGAAAGGATTACGCTACTCTTCGCCAGAGTCCTGGTCGTCACATATCCCAACGAAAATGTCAAAGTGGTACATGATGAAGCACCACCGCACGGTTACGATAGATGTCAAAATTTAAATTATTGATTGTGTTATCCATTGAAGGATAGCTAACACTGAGCTATCTCACAAATTCTGTTATCGTTTTCATTAGGCAACATAGTATGAATGAAAGCTGGAGGTCCTTTAGATCGCAGACACTGCACTGAAGATGTTCCACAACATTTCATATCTTAGTCCAACAAAAAGCTTTGAAAACTGTCTTAGGTTTTATTCTTTTAAAAACCTTTATTAATCTATTTCGAAACATGCAAAGTGTGTTTTAGATTCTGCGTACTCTGAAATTGTTTTGTAAGTACATTAAGCGTAAATACGCGTTAGTTGGTCGTTTTAAAATGTCAACGCTAGTTCTCCAGACAGGACAAGTGGGACTGTTTTAACGACTGACAATCACATTTCCACGTGTTTACACGTGCTTACCGGTAAACCTTTCACTGCAAATATTAAGAATGACAGAGGAGCAGAACCGATAATTCATCTACCATTAACTGCGAGCCGGTCGTATGACCGCAGTCAAAACGTCGCTTATGGAGGCGGCTACTATCGCGATGACTACTATCGAGATGGCCACGGCAATAACACACGAACCCCATATGCATCGAAAAAAGTCACTACTCTCGATCCGGTCAGTCGGCCGCTGCGATTTGGAGTGGGGAAGTACGCCATTCCCCTGGATCTCTTCGTTCCTGAGTCTGAATTTCCATCATTTACTTATGCCAACCCCAAAGCTGGCACCTCAGTGATTCATAGGTACGTCAGAAGTGCACGCTTGCACATTTCCGGTGAGTACCGATGCTATTGTTGGTAAATCATGCCTTTTAATGGAACGGTTGGTAAAGGGGAGAAATGAGAGCACTAAAAACGTTAACTTACGCTAGCATATAAAGAAAGATTGAATTAAATAACATATCGGTTGTCAAAAGGGTTCCGCAGAGCTGTGAAGTTACGAAGGCATTAATCGCGCTCTAGCCTCGATTACAGGTGCGCGCATTTTCGTTCCTGTGAGGCATTTTCACATTATTCCATTTAACACTAAATGCTAACTTTACAAAATAATCGTAGCACACTTCTAGTGTGTCTTGGTCATTTACAATCTAAAAGTTGTTCAATCTTTCAATATTTGAGACAACAAAAATTAGTGATTATATGCAGAAAATAACCCGAAAAGGGGGTATTTCAACAAAAGATGCAATTTTTCACATCAGAAGCATACGAACAGGGAGTCATCGAAACTGATGAATCGACCAATGACATTCCACAAAACAGGTGGGGAGGTTAACCCCGGTGAAATTCTTGTCCCACCCAACCGAGTCACTACATGCAAACATGCCCACCATCAGTGAGTGGGTAGTGTGCGGAAATCAATGACGGTGGTGCAGACTTAACAAAGGATCTGTCTTGTTTTGCGCTTTTTTCGCTTTACGAAAGCTCCAGGGCATTGGAAAAGTATGCCTTACAAAAGGACAACATTAATGCTGCTCTGTGACAAAGAGTATTTTTGCCTTCATGCAAGCTCATCAATGCGTGCACACATTGTTTTGAACGGAGGACTCTACAAAACGGGCACAATTCCAGTCTGGATACCTGCGATTGGCTCGGCGGACAACGGCACCCACCTTATTGACAAGGACGTAGAAATGGCCGTAAGATTATCTCAGTCTCATGACATCTACCTTGCAGCATGAAATGTGCATCGTGGTTGATTGCCTTTACATAAGAAATAAAATTAATAAGTGGATCACTTTGTCAGTTATTTCAAATGAACCCCGCTAAGCACAATTAACTGTTTTTAGGACTTTATTACTCATGTGATATTTTTTTGAAACATTGCAGGCTCATCCATAAAATTTAGCAGGCTTATAGCATAAAAGCAAAACGTTTACTTCGTTCTCGTCATCCTTTTTCCTACGTTAATCCTATAAATCTTTGTGCGTTAAACTATAAAACAGTAGCATAAAACAACTACGAGTCAAAAGAAAATTGACATCATATGTTTAAATGTGAGTGACTTAAAATTCAACTTGAATAAATTAGTGTGCTTGAGAACATGATCCTTCGTTGCTTGAGGGTCCATTGGGAGACCGTTATGGCACACGACGTGGATGTCCATAAAATACACGAAATCTAGTACACAAGTAAAACTGTCAGGCTTTTCAAATACCCTTCACCTTGAGGAAAAGTGCAAAATCTTGATGAATGACTTTAGGGTAAAGGGAGTCCTTTCACCAATCACTTGTATGTTACTCATGTATTCGCTTGTTAACTCAACTACGAGTCTATCTTGTTGTTTGTAATGACGCAGACAATGAGCCAATTCACGCAGTATGTAGCAGTTGGTTTCAGAGATACAACTGATTGTCACTGCAAATAAGTATTTTGATATTAGCAGTTTCTTTTTGTTTCTGACTTGTACTTCCAAACAGGCTCCAAAGAAGTACGTTACTCGTGACGACATGATTAAGGCAGTGTTGGGAGACAGGGAGGATAACGTGAAAAAAGTGGAGGCGAGATTGATATCCAGAGTGAACTGTCGTGCTGCCAATCTAAAGGAAGAGACTGAGATTATACCATGGACTGAACTTGAAGAGAAGACTGGACCTAAGTCGGAAGTTCTGCGAGAATTTAACAATAGTAATCGGAGCGGCCTATCCAAAGAATGGAAGAAGTACTGGGAGGTGAAAGATTTCAAATTAGACAATCCTTCCACACCAACTATAATTACAGCTGAGTTCTCTCTCGAATATTACCTGCAAGTAAGTCAGGCACCTTCGCTTATTTCACAAGTCCTGTGAACCGTGAGTTGTGATGAAACTTTACATATTACGCCAATGAGCCACTTAATTATCAAGTGAAACAAAGTCAAGGCAAATGAGATCCAGCCATTCAAAAATTCCTGGGAATTGTGAAGGTGTAATAGTAAAACTCTGAGATTCGGCACCTAGGCACCAAAAGTCGGTTTAGAACCAAAACTTGTATCGGCAAAATATACAAGGTTTCAGTGTTGCAACACTCCATTAGTGAATGACAAGGACAGGAAAAAAAACTAATCAGTCTTTATTCCCTGATGAACCAAATGATTCAAATTGTCATCTAGGACCTCTGAAAGGTTAATTCAATGCATGAGTTTAAACTGCTCGCGTGATGACAAATCCGACTTGCCCCACGAGTAGACAGGTTGCATTTGCGAAACTAAAGGAGAACCAGTAAGACGTTGCAAATTCCCCATTCCCATTCCCCATTCACATTTGGTGGTTTTGAACGTAATCACGATAACGGAGCGAATTGTCAGTAAGTTTGGGGAATGTGAGAACCTTTTGTCAATTTTATATGACGGAGAGAAACAGTTCTAGTGCATTTTATTGAACAAACAGTAACCAAGGATAACATCACAATATTTTATAATTTCAGATGTCCCATCCTGCATTTCGTGATTTTATAAAAATTTGATTTACAGCTGCGAGCTGATGATGATGAGTACGAGACGCCTGTCATCCTGGTTGACCTCATCAACGGACCCGATTTCAAACCACCGCAAATAACTCCGGAAATGCATAGCAGGAGAACCTTCACCACTTTGTGACCAAGTTCTGTTACATTATTTCTCTCCAACATCAATGAACTGCATAAACAACTATATGTTAGCGGCACATCAAATAAAAGCCATCATAACTATTATTTATTCCCTTGGGCATAAAATCGGAGGAGAGAATTTAAAAGTACCGTACTTAGAGTAGATTTTGCCACCTCACTATTATTCCATTAGGCACACAATAAAGTATACTGGAATAAGTAAATAAAATGGGGTGAACTACGCTCCTGAAGGCCAATTTTTAAATGCTAGCCAATAAACCATTTGACTGCCAAGTGATCCAAAGCAAAGGCAGCCTGGAATTAGTGACTCAAATTCTTGAGAACGGTAAACATGTACTAGTGAAAATCGGGGATTAGGCACCTCGACACCGCAAGTCGATTTAGAACTAGAACTTGCATTGGCAATACTCTTAGTGAATGACAGGGCAAGGCATAAGACCAGACAGCTTTTTTACTTAGGCGAGGAAAAGTTTCATTGGCGTGGACCAGAATGAAAGGTGTGTCATATCAAGTGGACTGTCCGTCTAATCCCACGAGTAGATGGTTTGCATTTGTAGAAATTAAATGAAGATTAGTAAACCAATGTGTGGTTACCCCATTTACAGCCCCGATTTTTTTGTGGATATTTAACGGGTTAGTAAATCTTTGCAGCATTATTTTTAGGTTAAATATCCTTGTACAATTAAACAAGTTGTATTTTATGTGGGAATTTAAAAAGTATTGAGGAATTTTTGTGTCTCGAGTCTTCCGTGAAGTCGTAAAACCCCAAAGCAGCTTAACAGAACATATTTTATCGACATATAGAAGAGTTACGGGACTACTGGTATGGCCTGAAGGCCATGCTGCAGGGTAAAAAATTGCTTTGAGAGACTCAAGTGCCCGCATAGTTTAACATACGGTTAAAATATCAAACTACGACACAAACCCATGATACAAATTCAAAAGTTCCAAATTTATTACCACTACTGAGAGAAGGCGATTTCAGTTCACAATTTATCAATGGTGTATTAATTGAGGTCACCACGACTTAAAAATACATTAATTTAAAATCCGATTTGGACTAACTTGACCCTATGTGATGGGAGTTCGATTAGAGAATTTATGAATCAATCTTGGGCGTTTGATGTAAATCTGGTAACTCAGCTTTTATACGTGCGCGTACGCAAACTGCATGCGGATGTGGAGCCTTCATTCCCCTGTGATCATCAGTGCGGCTCAAGAACCTAAAACTTGCGTCCCTTTGGAAGACATAAATTTCATATTAAAATACGATTATGAATTGTTAACGTAACACAAAAATTACTAACTGTTCCATACATACAAAAAATGCCGTATGCAGGTATGCCACTTGCGCACTAGTCTTCCTCAATGCTCCATTGTAATAGGATGTTTATTCATCCCTCGGTGTTGACGAGGAGAGACTTTTGAATTGGCCTTGGTATCACGTCGGGTAGGCTGGTCTTCGGGCCATGCCAGTAGCCCAAATACTCTCTCAGTGCTGAATGTATATATTCTGCCCGAGTATTGTCTTCTTTCGTCTTCAGGAAGGTCTCGGGACGCTACACTATTGATGATACGCGCTAGGATTTTCGAAACAAATGAGCATCTCTTCCAACAACAACGCCATGTTATTTTCGCAGTGAACAGTGAATCACATCAAATGTTCGTTTTTCGGTTCCTGAAAAAGTGGTAGCAGTAATGCACCGCCAGCCAAAATAAGAACTTGATAATCTTTTAACCGATAAAGTTATAGTTTTTTTGAGTTGTGACAAGTTGTAACATTTTCCGAGTTGGGATGAGATACCACGTTCCGTGTGATTACGTCAACTACTTTACTTTTGAACCGAATCATTGGATGTTGTTTTTGAAATTTTCGCCGTGATTTAGCGCAGGTACGACTAGAAACGAATGTTTTTGTTTGCATCAAATAAAAGATTTTCAGCGCAATATAATGGTTGTTTCTACCTAGGTCTAATTTGTTTAGAAAAACAATTAAGGATATTAATGTATGGTTATTTTTTTCAAACATCATCTAGTTTAGACGGGTGAAAGTTGCACCAATACGACGTTGATATGCTTTTAATTTTGTCAAGTATACACATTTTTCCTCTATTTTAAGGAACAGTAATCAGTTTGTGAGGCCTAAAAACACTGTTTTTTGGACTTTTTTTTCACAATTTCTACACTTTGATTTCACTTTAGTTGTAATATTTTAATTGCTTTGTAAAACATTGGCCTAACTGGTTTTATTTTGCCGACTTACTTAGAATCATCTTTACTAAGGCACTTTATTTGACAAGTCCGAAAACATGATGAATATATGCTTTGGGTAGTTCGCAAGGAATTAATTGTAGCGTCCCGAGACTTCCCTGAAGACGAAAGAAGACAAAATACG